ACAGAGGTTTTATGTGTTTTTCGTTTTTACAATGGAAACATTTAAACCTGAATGTCACTAAAGTGTCAAGTTGGTGTCAAGAATGACATTTACGTAAATTAAAATGTTTGGAAATTCATGTTTCGCCGTATATATTTATGTATCATACGCATGGTATTTTATAGTGACATAAACTTTTTGCCCACGGAGATGGAGAAAATGGCAAACTCTTGTGAAAATAAACTAGTTTGGGCCATTATTGAAACTGTATTTACTTTACTACTCAAATATGTAGCAAAAATGAAACAATAAAATTATACAATTATAAATGCATCTTATTTATTTTCCATATTATAAATTGTCCTCTCAATGCATATTATAAATTGTCCTTTTATGTAGCACATTTTTTTTAAATAAGAGAAAAGGGACAAGCGCTGTTGCTATGGCCTTAGACACTCGAAATTTGTCCAAACTGAATGATTGGCCAAATTTCGAGTTCCATCTTGGAAATCCATTATTCCCGAGCACGCAAGACTTTATTCTTCTGGATTACGTATAGGATAATAGTAGAGATTTTCTTTTTCCATTATTTGTACTTTTGAAGATAAGAGCTTGTGACAGTTGACACTACCGAACTGACACTAACCGTAACGCTAATTATAACCGCCCAAAATCGGGCGGTTATGATTAGTGTCATATATGACGTCATTTTGACCAGCGCAAAACTGGTGTAGCGAATATCATGAACATCCGTAGACGTAACCATCGTGAATGTGCTGGTTAAGGTTTATAGTTAGTTAATATAACTCACCCTTAGTAAATTTTAAGGTTATTCCAAATATTACCGTTACAAATAATTTTAACTTTAACGGTAACCGGCGATATGGTGCAACTCACCCTAAGATGTCAACAATTACACCATATTTTTGAATAATACTTTTTGGAATATAAAGCCCTACACTTACGTCACGCTTTAGGCTATATCTGCACGCCATTAAACTTAGGGTTAAATATTTTGGATATAAACCCTAATGTGGGAAAGAGACCATAAGTTGATGCTAACATCAAGGAAACAAAATTGCCAAGGTTTGTAATGTCATGTCATTTTGACATTTGCTATTGATAATTTGACAAATGTAAATAATAAAATACAATTTTCACAATTTCATATGGATGAAGCCGCACGGGAACAGCTAGATCTAAAATAAAAATAACAAAGGAATGTGTTCACGTTTTAGTAAAGAAAATAGATTAGACTAGCTTTCGCCCGCGACTCCGTCCGCGTGGAGTTCAAAAAAAACAAAACTTATTAGCCTATGTGTTCTACCAAGACTGTCCTCTACGTCTATGCCAAATTTCATCGAGATCCGTTCAGCCGTTTAGGCTACAAACTCTAACAAACATCCATCTAAACTTTCGCATTTATAACATTAGTAAGAGAAATAAAAAAGATAGAATCTAAATTATTTTTTGCATTATAATGCTTCAGATATATTTGAAATAACTTTAAAAGCATACACGACCTTTGCTCTTCCAGTAATGATAAACTACAGAAACACATTAGTGCTCCAGAAACCGAAGTCATGACCCGGGAAGGAATTCACTTATCTTACTAATGCACCCTGGATGTTTCTGGCATGCGTAACCGCTTTTAATTTATTATACTGGCAACATGCATCAACTCCTCACGGATCTGGATTCCCTACCATCACCATGCTCTGTCACCACGTAGAAACAGATGAGAATCAAAAGTTTCTTCCGTCTTGCGACGAGGGGACGCACGGTTGAAACTTATAACGATTCCATCTGTCACTTTATTGTTGATAGTGGGACTTAAAGGTGGGACGAATTTAACTTTTTATTCTAGCATGGGGACAGATCGGGGTGACGGTTGGGAAAATCTCGGATTGATAGTCGTAGAGTGACGACCTTATTTGACATGGTAGGAAGAAAATTTTTACATCACAACCTAGCGGTTGCTAGCGACTTCATCCGCGTGGATTTTAAAAAAATATTTTTATTTCACGCAGCGTTTTAATGGTGAAAGAATTTTGGAAATCTGTTCAGTAGTTTTTGAGTTATTTTAATACAGAATGAGGTTATTTAAATTCTGAAAGAGGAGATACACTGAAAGGATATTTCTTCTACAAATGTCTTGCCCCGTCAAATTGCTTCCCCTTCCCATAAGAAAAGGATGGGATGGAAAACGGACTCTGATTAGATCTTTGCGCAACTTGTACTGTGTCTTTCAGTCTTTCTGGTATTTAGTTTAATAACCAAAACATCATCTTCATCTCCCCTACCTTATCCGACTCACGTAGTGTCGGCGTGGGTTTTCCACCTCCAAATAACTCTATCTACCGTCATCTGTCCCTTCTTGATCATGTCACCTTTCACGCAATCCATCCAAAGACATTATTTCACTAACAATTAACGTAATATTTCTAATTTTATGACTATTCACTTTATAAATAACGAGCTGTTGCCCTCGACTTCGTCCGCGCGGTATTAGAAAACATACGAACTATATAAATTACAAAAAGCTACGTATCCCTCGGGAATTTAAATGTTAAAAAACTATATTAATGAATCCCAAGGAACCGTAACTAGTCCCGGGATAAAAAGTAGCCTATATGTTCTTCCAGACTATGTTCTAAACCTGTGCCAAATTTCATGGAGATCCGTTCAGCCGTTTAGACTACAAACGCTAACAAACATCCATCCATCCATCCATCCTTCTAAACTTTCGCATTTATAATATTAGTAAGATAATTGTCAATTAGTTTGTCTTCCCTCGTGTCCTACAGGAAGGCATTTGGTGACATTCCCGACGCATTATCTAATCAACAACAATCAGCGTTGATTGAGAATTGTTCATTTGATTGTCCCAATTGACCACCGACTCACTAAGGGCTTACGTACACGGGTAGGACCATGTATGGTGGCTTTAAGTGTCCGTGAATGGCGGTTTCAATAGTGTTCTTCGTTTCTCAGTTATTTCAATAGTGGAAGTAAGAAAGATCGAACACAAATTAATAAAATAGCATTTGTGTATCTCTCTCCGGATCGTTTTTTTTTATTATATAAGGTGGCAAACGAGCAAGCGGCCGTCTGAATCCACCGAAATGGAAAGCGACCGCTGCCCATATACATCCGCAATTGCAGATGCGCTGCCAACCCTTGATTGACGGAGGAGAAGACGCACATAAAGAGGACATTTCCCCTTCCTATGCGTATCCTCTACCGTCAAATCGACGTTTCCTTCCCTTCCTTTCCTCTTAAGAAAAGGGTGGAAAGGGAAAGTGACCAAAATTAGGCCTCCGGCACCACACTCATCAGACGAAACGCGGAATTGCTTCCACTTGACGCCTGTCTTCTGTGTGGTCGTGGTATTACTGGGGGCGAGCCGGCCTATTCGTGCGAAGATGTTAAAGCGGGCTCTACCACTGTTGTCGTTTCATCACTCCTGAGGATCGCGACCAGGGTGGTCCTTGACAATCTCTCGAAATCTCAACTCTGTGCGATTCTCTGCGACGTGGATGGCATTATGAATAATTGTGTCGAGTGTGGTGCATACCTGGTCCGTCCAGCGCATTTTTGTGTATAGATAGTCGATTATCTAGGTGACCTAAGTCTGTTCAAAAAGAGAGATAAGGTTTACTGCTCTTCCATTACATCACATTACCACATCCTGGCTAGCTTTCGCACGGGACTCTGTCCGCTAAATTAAAAAGAAAACAAAAGCACGTAGTCTATGTGTTTCAGACTATCCTCTACAAGTATGAGAATCAAACATCTAAACGCATTAATAGTAAGAATTATTAAGCCATGGGTTCGTCGTATTGTACAATTGCTATAAAGGACTCTGTTACCAATTGACCTCTGAGTGTGAATTTAAATCTATGACTCTTGATCGAAGATGACACGTTGAAACTGTACAATTGCTTAGTTTATAACTTATCAAGTTAAACTTTATTGTGCTTAAGGGTAGACATTGACCGTTGTTGACCTGAAGGTTAATTTTTATTATACTAATATTATAAATGCGAAAGTTTAGATGGATGTTTGTTAGAGTTTGTAGCCTAAACGGCTGAACCGATTTTGTTGAAATTTGGTAAGGATGTAGAGGATAGTCTGGAAGAACACATAGGCTACTTAGTTTTGTTTTATTTAATTCCAAGCGGACGGAGTCGCGGACGGAGTCGCGGGCGAAAGCTAGTAATAGAATATAGACGAGCGGCCAGTGGAATTAGTTAAAATACCAAAGTATACATATTTGTAGATGCGTAGTACCTTCAATCAATAGAGAAAGGCACACGCCACGAAATTTACTCTACCTATACGTCCCAGCCCCTGGAAAATCTTTGGGAATAGTGTTAAAAAAGTCCCTGGGAAAGTGTTGGGCACGTATACTAGCTACTTTAACAGTGTTAGAGCCCTCTTTAACATCTTATCATGAATGGGTCGGCACGCCCAGTGCAATAGCACGACCACACGGAAGACAGCGTGAAGTGGGAGCAAATCCGCGTTCCGTCTGATGAGTGTGGTGCCGGAGGCCCAACTTTAGTCCCTTTTTATTTTTGTTTTTTTGTTACTGAGTTGTCACTGTTTGCCTTGAAGAGGTATTTACAGATTCACCGCGCTTAGCCTAAACCTCTTTTATCAGTAACTAGTCTCGAGAGCTCCCTCAGGAGCCTCGGCTCGGGCGGTTATCCCTTTCGCGTTCCACCCTTTTCTTATAAGGAAAGGGTTGGATGGGAAAGTGAATTTGACATTAGAGGGAACGCATAGGAAGGGGAAATATTCTCTTTATATGCGTCTCCTCCTCCGTCGACTTAGAGTGGGCAATGCAATGCAATTGCGGATGTATATGTGCAGCGGTCGCCTTCCATTTCGGTGCTTTCAGGTGGCCGCTTGCTCGTTTGCCACGTGATTATAAAAAAGAAATACTATGGTCGTGGTACCCAAGCAGAATACACTTCAGTAATTTGTAGAAGTCTAAGAGCTGCTTTTGTTTCCAGATGACCTAAGTGGCTGTGATGCGAGGTGCGGTGCTAAGCGTTCTGTTGGCGCTGAGCGCGGCGCTGCTGGCGGAGGCTGAGGGGGCAGGCGCGTGCCCATGGGCGTGCGCGTGCCGGCCCGGCGCCCTCGACTGCGCCCACCGCGGCTTACTGCACGCGCCTAGACGTCTGCCCACTGACGCGCATCGACTGTAAGTGTATCATAGTCAAGCGAGCTTCTTTTCTTATCCATATATTGTAAAGAATATAACTCAAAAAATACTGGGCCGATTTCAAAAATTCTTTCATAATTACAAAGCTATGTTACTAGTGAGTAATATTTTCAAGGTTATCTTTTTTTAATTCACGCGGATGAAGTCGCGAGCAACAGCTAGTCACAGTTGACTTCTGATTAGGTATCCTATAATTATAAGTTAAGCTATAAAAACTCATTTATATAAATTTAAATTGATCAGTTCGATTGTTCAATTAAAACTGACACTGTTTACTGTTTATAAGTCAAGCAATTTCATTAAGTTATTCCTCTATCCAAAAAAAAAAAAATCAACACTACTATTTAATATAAACAAAATTGAACCTTGTTTACATACAGATAAAGTACAAAATAGAACGTATGCATTCTATTCCCGCGGGAGATGTTCGACGTTTCCGATATATGCAGGGATGACGTCACTAACAATATTCCCGCGTAATTTACAAAAAACAAAACAAAACAAAATACACCAAAAACAAAATATTCTCAAAAA